CCATAGCTATCATCATATGCGTATATTACTATAAATTACTCGAGACGAAATTAACGTATTACTGTATTATTCAACTTGTCATTTTCTAAAACCGTCTAGTTAGCACTGAGTACAACAGCTCGAACTTAGACATCCAAAAATGTCGTATTCTGTGTCACCGTACACAAGACGTGTATGTAGATATTGTCGTAAAATGATTTTTCTAATGATTTACGCTATTTTAGTGGGCTGCACCAAGCGCGCAACCCTACTACTACAGTCGTGCTTTATGCTCACATATTGCATAATGAAATGCGGCAACGATGTCACAGTGTCCATACTTTCAAAATAGGGACGAAATAATAGGCGGTCAATCCCTATATCCAAGAGGAAGGGGCTCACTGGAAAAGTACTAAAAATGATCACTTTTTTCCAACAGAATTTGGTAAAAGGGTCGACAATTAACCTTACACGCAAGTGGCCATCGATATATCGTAAAGAGCGAAATGGCCACACAATTCGTGTTTGCCCTTTGAAATGGCGTGTGAAGGGCGGTGGTCGTCTCGCATCGCGTGTTTGAATTTCTTATAAACAAACAATGTAATTTACAGGCGTTGTGTACGTCGCTATGAGTCCCATAACAAGCAGGACGTGGCGCGACCACCGCCACATATATGGACGCAATGAGTCCAGGAGCTATGTGACGAACGAAAACAAGTCCAGTGGTTCTCTCGCTTTCAATGAGATCTAAACGGCCGTTTGTTTGCATTTAGGTCTGTTCAGCATTCATTATTATTACACTAGGAGGCAGCCCACCGAGAACGCACGACTGTAAACAAATCGCGTTTACAAACCATTGAAAAGAAAAACAACAGCCATTCTATTGAATGAATTAAAAGCGAACTAATGAATGGATATATCCTAAAATTTGCTTAAAGGACACGCCTTCTGTCGTCAATAAGCGTGCTGCTTACCGGGACTGCTTAGTGACTTATCACGGTGCAGTCGCGAACTGAAAGCGCAATCGTAAAAAGCCGCGCGAAATGACAGCTAGATATTGATCAATAGCAGAGCAGAAAAGATTTTTTGGCGGAGAAAACTAAGCAGCGCGTGTTATTGGCTGATGAGGTAGAAGAGAGTATATGTGTCGTTTATTCAATTGTATGAGCATGTGAGTTTTGCTTCAATTGTGTTTAATCTACAGTAGACCGGGGTACCGGCAGTACATCTCAGATATGCACATAGAGTAGAGTACATGAAATGAGAAACAAGATTTAATACACATTGTCAAGGTGACCAGTGACAGAAGTAAATCATCTATTAATTATCTGAATAAGGCCACTAATTAATTGATTAGAGGTTCCCGATGGGTTGATGGGAGGGGGTGTAGCAAGAAATGAGAGTAATGCAGTTTAAAATCAGCAAGTTAGATTTTTAACGAGCTAGATCCTGTCCAATCACAACATTGCGTAAACCATGAGTACAAAAGTCGAACAGTCAGAAACAAAATCCGTGAAATCAGAACATCCGCATATTATGCGCCAGAACCAGTATATTCTAACCCCGCCGTAACTCCGCACGATTTGGAATCTGCATAGAACGAACTCCTGTAAACCAGAACCTGCTTAATAAGCCGAAATGTGCATTCGCCAAACATATGTAAACCAGAGACTGCTTAAACCGAACACCTGCAAATCAGAATCTGCATACAACGAACTCCTGTACACCAGAGCCTGTTTAGTAAGCCAAATACATGTAAACCTGAACCTGCATATGGCGAACTCCTGTAAGCTAGAACCTGTATAGACCGAACACCTGTAAAACAGAAACTGCATACGCCGAACAACTCTGAACCTGCATACACCGAACACTTGTAAACTAGTACTTCCATACACCGAATACGCCGACTACCTGTAAACCAGCACAAGCATACGTATAAACCCACCCACAAATGTCACGTGGATTACCAAAGTGCCATTGTAATGTAAAGCATTCAGTTAATTAAATTAGAAAAATGCACAGTTTTACAACAGAGCTCTTACAATAAACCCCTACTAGTACGCCATAGAGGGCAGCATAAAAATACATGAATGCAAACCACAAGGCAACAAGAAAACCGCGATTATTCTAAGGGATACGTTGTCTAAAAAATTCTTTTAATTTGAGGGGTAAATAGTTCTTTATTCGGATCATGAACACTGCGAATTTATACTGTAATGAATATGGCAGATTTGTAAAAATAACGACAAGGGAAACATTATTTACAACATTATGTATTCACCGATAACTTGTCAACACGTGGTTAGCATTATTGAAATTTCGGAGATTTGTGACAAGTATTGATCATGTTGGTTGGCTTACTCAATAAAATTGCATCGATACTGTAATGTTAACGAGACATTCGAGTGGTAAATATTTGTATATTTAAATTAGAAAAATGCGCAGTTTTACAACAGAGCTCTTACAATAAACTCCTCGACTACTAGTACGCCATACAGGGCAGCATAAAAATACATGAATGCAAAACACAAGGCAATACGAAAACCGCGATTATTCTAAGGGATACGTTGTCTAAAACATTCTCTTAATATGGGGAAATAGTTCTTTATTCGAATCATGAACACTGCGAATTTATACTGTAATGAATATGGCAATTTGTAAAAATAACAAGTTACCGATAAGGGAAACATTATTTACCACATTATGTATTCACCGATAACTTGTCAACACGTGGTTGGCATTATTGAAATTTCGGAGATTTGTGACAAGTATTGATCATGTTGGTTGGCTTCCTCAATAAAATTGCATCGATACTGTAATGTTAAAGAGACATTCGAGAGGTAAATATTTGTTCTGTCACAACTGTCCGTTTTAACGTTATAACGGTTGTCGAAAAAAAAAACCTATCAACAAACAAGCTGATCTCTGATTGGTCTAACTGTTAGGTGTTAGGGTTGGGTAGCCAATCAGGCACAATCTTGTAAGTAGTTTCGCATTGGTACTGCTCTGGTTGTTGAAATACAATCACGTGATTTCGATTCACACTCCATGTAAAATGATGTCGATTGCTTTGGTCATATATCTTGGCCACGTGTTTTGTATTTAAAGCGGAGGAGTCGTGCTGCGCTTGCGTCAGATGGCCATGGCGTGTTATTGTTTACAAACAAGCGTCTACCCATGAGCCTTTGCGTTTTCAGCGTATGCGTTTTTCCGCGCGTGCGCAGGTGACCACCCTCCCGCTTTAAATCCCACTTCCGGATGAACATGCGCACACATCACGTGGTTAACAAGTGTTACCACTCGGAAGTTAGTGTCGTTGCTGGACAACAGAGAAACTACATCACAAATACATAACCGCTTTCTAGCAATTTGAATTCACATGCCATGGAATCTAAGACCTGTCGTATGAGTATAAATTGAAATTGCAGCTTGAAACATGTATGTTCAGGTAGGCAGGTAAATAAATAAATAAATAAATAAATAAATAAATAAATAAATAAATAAATAAATAAATAAGTAAGTAAATAAATAAATAAATAAATAAATAAATAAATAAATAAATAAATAAATAAATAAATAAATAAATAAATAAATAAATAAATGGTTTCTTAAACATCATGAGGTACCGGTCACCGGTCAAAATATTACGTTCACACACAGTCCCTCTATGGACAGTAACTTAGGCAACGCTTCGCGGAGTTTTACTACCAATGACATGATGTTCTATCGGCGAGACGTCACGTCTAAAGAGACTGCCAGTAATATAATTATGCAGGCATACTTAAGGGGGCTTGGCGTGCAACAAGAGAAGGAATGACGTGATAGGGCAACACTTAAAAACTGACCCCGGCTTCACCATAAAGCATGTTATACAACCGGCCTAGTGATACCATGAACAACACAGATACAAAAGACATTCGTACATCCGGGGTATACGTATCAGATTTCCGTCCTCGCCAACGAAACATATACTTGTAGTTCACTGTCGGGTACACCGCGTGCTGGCACGCTTCTGAACTTGTGTGTTAGCAATAGATTACACCCACTCGACATTTCACGGTACTTTAAATACAGCTACAACTAGTCTCAAGGTATGTACTACTACACTATATATTATAATACTACTTAAACATATTATACGTCTTCCATATAAAATTACGGTGTGTCATCATAGCAGTGAGACGACCATCCCAGCCATCGAATTTTAACTCGGCCTTCAGATAAGAAGTGTGTCTGTTTTGTGCACGGCACACCGTTGATCAGCATAACTGAGATACCATTGCCGTTGACGTGTCTCGACAATGTCCCCGTAGTTGTTTATTTGGTCTTTACGTACAGTGGTCGATAATCTGAAACAGTATACTCATTGTGCGTTGAACCAGTAACGGCGTTCGCCATACACCCAAGTAACTTCGGGATGGTAGTGTCTGCGCGTATCAATGTGTTCTGTCGTGCCTAGCAGTTTACCCTCCACTGTGATACCACAACGGGGCGCTGCAAGGCGTCGCACACGGGCAGCAGGTCAATTCATAACAGGTCAATATTCCAACCCGTGATACGTACGATGCTGCGGGGTTATTTTTTACTGCGATAGAGGCACTCATGCAAGCGGAATTATTCAGACTTAATGTCTGTGTGTGGGTCGGCAGTATAGGTTTAATGTTAGTAGAATAGGTGGCCGCCTTTTAATTGTCCGGCATCTACAATTATAATTAATAACACTTTTCAATCGGTTCATTCATCCCCTGGTTCTATAGTCGTACATGTCCACGAGTTGTCTAGCGTAAAAATGTATTGTCAATTCACTTCTCACTCAGTAGAATCAGTGACCCGGACTGACCTTACCAGAATTACAGGGCCCTCTTCTCACACCGATCAACGATCACCGACCACATTCAATGTCAACGACACACTTTGCGGGCAGTCGGCTTATCGTTTGATCATTTCAAGAGCGAAGGAACTCATGAACACCTTACTCACTCACTTCTCTCTATCACTGCTTAGAAAGTTTCGCCATGAATATGGCCGAGAGGAAACGGGATGTTATTATGACGTCGTCAATGACATCACACATGCGTCACCTTGAGAACAATAATCTGGACATAGACGCGGAGAAGAGAGAAGAAGATTTGCTACACGCAGTGACTGAAGCCATTCCTTTGCCATATCTCTTTATTCTTGACGTTACTGATAACTTTTTTGAAGTTGGTGGAACAAAAGGTGAGAGAAAATAACGCTGGTGAAACAACTTTTATGTTGGCAGTCCTCTTTGAGGTCACCGGAGTTGGGATATTAAATGATGTTCCTTATCAATTGTTTGTTATCTACCCCTGGCCAAGGGTCCACTATAATGAGATGATAATAAAAAGTACTCGTTTACACAGGTTTTATCTATCAATAACATTGACTGATGGACGTCATGCGCTGATGTGATACAGCTAAGCGGGAGGCGGGTTTATTCACCCCCTCTCCTTACCGGATCGTGAACTTAAAGCGGAGGAGTCGTTACCTGCGCATGCGTCAGATAGCCATAGCGTGTCATTGTTTACAAACAAGCGTCTACCGATGAACCTTTGCGTTTTTAGTGTGTGTTGTTATCATCGCTTGGGACTCAATTCTCGCACGTGCAGGTGACGACCCTTCCACTTTAACTATTTCGTAGTGTTCGTAGTGTTTACGTGTAAACATTATTACATGTGTTTGTAGTACTCATCTTAATTAATATCACGCGCAGAGTAAATTGGACGTGAAATCCTCTGTCTAAATCTCAAATTTCAAGTTTTATATATTATTCTACTTCTCAGGTTTCATTTATCCGTCTCTTGATATGTTGACGTATTTACTAGCATATCCTGTTTTAGTGTTTTGCATTTACATTTTACATTCAGCTATCAACACCCATTCATGAATGATCTGTTTCTGTTTTATTTTAATTGACAAATAATTAAATCAGATATCAATCAAATCAAATTTTTAATGAAGTTTAACCGAAATACTAAATTTTTCATTAAAATGGGGCAGACTAATCAGTTTGTGTACTAGTGTATTTCCTAATGGACCCCGGTCTCATGACCAAGGTTATGTGTATGGTTCTGTCCGATTATGTTTTAAATTAATTGTAGGCTCGTTCGCGGCAAAGTTTGCCCGCTATTACTCACTTTAACACAAAACGACAATAACCCTTTAAGCATTTCACGTGAATTCTTTTAACTTCCAAGTCGGAGTCAGTTACTCGGAAGACTAGTTGGTTGAACAACATTTGATGACGTATTAGTATGACGTATCACCGACACCTTCACATGATCTATTTTCATCCTTCCCAATTGGACAATAACACTAGGTTCTTGTTGTTCAACCATACACCTTAGAAAAAGGTAGTATCAGCTCTTCAGGTCACCCGTGTGTCCGGTATCTTACGAGTAAATATTTAGTATTTAGTGTATATACTAATAATATACATGCCTATTGTACTCGTTGTTCTTTCAGTGACTGCTGCAGTTGTTGTTAGGATGTTGCGGAAACGAGGCTATGAGCTCACCTTGTCAGATATGTTCCAAGCATCGGTTCTGAGGGACATACTTAATGTAATGCGACCATTGAAATTTGAGCAAGAACATTTACCAAATGCAGTTAGGACGAGCCTTAAATCGAAACCGGGATCGACTTGTCCAAGAACGAATAACTGTCAATGTGCTCCGGACGTTGCGAGTTTAACTCGTGTCGCGACCAAAGATTCTGATGTGGAGCTTGTCTGCTTTGCTGACGCGACCAAAGAAGAAGTCTACAAAGTATTTAGTCTGTGTGTGCAATCACTCTTAAAACTGGAACCTATGGAGTTGTGCCTGGACATGAGTGACACTGACAAGCACGTGTTCGTATCGTCGGCACTCAGGGAAATATTTCACAATCCTAGCTGCCAGTCACTGTCATTCTTATTACGTCATAAAATAACCAAAGAGGTGAAGGCGGCCATGTTGTCCGCGGACTTCTTTTATCAGTGCCATCCAAGCTATGAAGGAATTCCATGTCTTCCTTGGCAAGCATTTCTCTTCACTATCGTGGACTTAGAAAGGAGGCACAAGAGAATTCTAGGGGTGACGACCCCGAGAAAATGGGTTTGTCATGTCTTGTCCGTCACAAATCTGTATGATGATCCATACACACAGTTGTCCCTACATCGACGATTGAATCACGGTAAGAAATTCCTTAAAATCCGACTAATCGTAAGATATGTTCTTCAATTATCAGTGTCATTTTACTTGAATAACCGAGTTGAGTATACAGCGTTTTACAATCTTGCGCCCTCTAGCGACGAAGAACTTATGTGACATCAAAATAACGTATGTGAAAGCGATGGACTTCAATTGGATTTCTGTTGATCAGAGGTTGTCGTCGTTCATCAATTAAAATATAGTAAAATCTTTCAAAGAATTTCACTGATGGTCGACGAAAGATCGGGCGGGCTCCCCCCCCCAACCATTCTCTTTACGACACAGAAACGCATCGCACTCTAGAGGGATATGTCACGTAATCAATGACCACGTGAAACACGAAACATAATTCGTGAGATTTTTCAATATTTAATATTTATCTCTGCATATCACTCACCCACGACCTTATTTTGTTAAAATGAGCAAAAATGTTATTTTGAGAACATTTGATTTTAAACCTATATCTTACACCAACATGTTGACTACAGTGTATATTGGCTACTGAAGACAGATTAAAGTTAAAGGACGGTAGTCGTCGCGTCGCGCACGTGCGAAATTTGTATTGATAAACATTCATTTTCGGTCACTGGTAGCATAGTGGTTGTCGCACCAGACTCATGATCGGTAGAACCAAGTTCAAATCCTACTATATGCTGAACATCAAAATGGTCGACCCCTACCCTGGGTGAGTGTGCCACAGACTCAATTGGAAGGCCAATTCCACTGGCCGAGATTCATTCACTAACGATTGCGACTTTGGGGGAACCTTGGCTAAGGTCCGCAGGTGCTTGTGTTCGACCGGGCCTGGTTGACGCCAGGATAGCGCATTGCAAATTGCAATTTGACAGAGAGATGACCACACAGCCCTGTCATGTAGTCCCAAACATGAATATGACTTCTGTGGCACACACTATGTGTCGTAACTAGCACTTGCAAATTGCACATGAAAAAAAAAGTCAGGAGAGACAACAGTGACACTTAATGTCCGGAACTGTCGCCTGGCACAAAAAATATTTAAAAACAAAACATAAAAAAAACATTCATTTTCCCACAATCCATTTCGAATTTCTAATGAAATCACAAGTACGATTTATATTCTGGGCACCACTTGCACTAATTACCGCCGGCGTCTCTTTTCGATACCTTCCAATCACCAACAAAAATACTAAATTAAAGCTTGGTAACCTCTCGGTTTGTACTTGTTGGTGTGCGCAACAGTCAAAATCGCCATCTTTTTTTTTATATGAGACCCACATCTGGCGCATGCGTGGTACGACGACCACCGCCCTTTAAAGTTACGATATATAGCAAAACCGAACCCGATATGAGATACGTTTACCAGAAATTAAAAGTTTCTAACTCTAGCGGAATGCTCTTTATTACTGTATATAAAAAAATAGTCTCGGAAAATATTAGTAATAATAATTCTGAGTAAGGCAGCCAGGAAGATTCAAATTTGGTTAAGCTGAGCTGGAGCCAGGCTGAGTTATGTATATTTCGACAGTCAAATTATGGTCACGAACAGCCTAAATAGTAGATAAAACAAATTTTATAACTAATCGTTTATAACAATTGTTCATTTATTTCACAGAAGGGCCACTCCTGGCTGGACAAAACGGATACTCCGACGCTGTTTGTTTCTATGCCAACCCACTGTTACAGGAATGCGCCGCTGAGGCGGGTTTTAAAGTGGTCGGATCATCACAACTGCTGAGAGAAACAAAATACAAAGAGTGGCGATTTTTCCCGGAAATAATGCCGGATGACAGCAGATATTTGGTGATGACTCGGAGAATCGACTACAAAGTTTGAGAGTGAGAAATACTAGTACTCGACAAGAAAGACCACTTAATACGAGCATGCGCAATGGAAACATTCAGTTCGTGTCAGCCGCGGGAGTCAAATAATCGAAACACAAAATGTGGATGGCAACACTGTAAAAATATCGCATTGTTATGGGGCGAACGTACATGCGGATAACTGGTGACAGGAGTATTTCCCGGGCATAAAGGGGGCACTGATGTTAGTTCTACGGTTATAAAACATTACCAAAACAAGTTCAAATGCTGATTGCAGAATAACAGGATGTAGCAGAGAGTATATCGTCCAAATGAAGATTGAACATAATGACGTTTTTGGTGCTTCGCCTGAACTAAGCGTTCACGCACACTTTGTTAGCCAGTGCTAAGGGTCTGGACTGACAGATCAGATTTATTCCGTACTGAGCGTTTCTTAGCCCGTGCTTAACACGGGCTAAGGCGCACATTTGATCTCTTAGCCCGTGCTAAAGAGCTGTACGTGAACGCTACTTATAACAGTGTAGCAGAAAAGGTCCACAATCTTGCGGCCAAACCCTGTGTAGTTGGACTCAAATATTCGAAGCGTTGAAATGGAAATAAAACGTATGAATGTTGATTTTGAAAAATAATCAACCCTGTACAAACATTAATCAAAGAGAGCCTAGGAAATTTGGTTAAAGGTAGTAGTATGAGTGTACTGGGGATATATTCATAGGCCAGTAACAGCGCAGGTTCTACGACCTACGACGTAATGGACGGCGGTGATGGGTTACTGGCATAAATATATATAGTACTAAAATAACATTTTGCAAGACGTCAATCTGCAGTACAAGGTGACTGGAGTCCAAATACCCGTATTTGTTAATTGGTCAGGGAACGACTGAATTTGTCACGGTACTCGTACTGAGAATCATGGATATTTTACTTAGGTATGAATTAATTTAGATGCATACACTATTTGTTTCGACTTGTTTTGGAGATTGTCTCAGGCTGAAGTCCTGTATTTAGTTTTGCTTACTTGTATGATCACAATTTTATCACTGCGCTGTTACTAGTTTAGTATATTTCCATTACGCTTATCCTACTACCATTGCCCATTTAGTCTGGGCTCCCTGTGGTCGTACGTGATATGATTAGTAGGTTAGGCAGACCATCATTCATCTTCGTACGCGCTATCATTACTAGGTTCGGTAGACCACCATTCATCATCTCGCGCGCTATTATTACTATGTTAGGTAGACCACCTTTCATCCTCGTACGCGCTATCATTACTAGGATAGGTAGACCACCATTCATCCTCGTACGCGCTATCATTACTATATTCAGTAGATCACCATTCATCCCCGTATGCACTATCATTATTAGATTAAGTAGATCACCATTCATCCTCGTAAGCGCTATCATTATTCGATTAGGTAGATCACCATTCATCCTCGTACGCGCTATCGTTACTAGGTTAGGTAGATCACCATTCATCCTCGTAAGCGCTATCATTACTAGGTTAAGTAGACCACCATTCATCCTCGTAAGCGCTATCATTACTAAGTTAGGTAGACCACCACTTCATTCTCGTAAGCGCTATCATTACTAGGCCGGGTAGATCACCATTCATCCTCGTACGCGCTATCATTACTAAGTTAGGTGGGCCATCAATTATCCTCATACGCGCTATCATCACTAGGTTAGGTAGACCGCCATTCATCCTCGTAAGCGCTATCATTGCTGGATTAGGTAGACCACCATTCGTCCTCGTACACATTATCATTATTAGGTTAGGTGGACCACCATTCATCCTCGTACGCGATATCATTACTAGATTATTCAGCCACGACTCAACCTCGTGCACGATTTCATCACAGAGTATATTTAGTCAGCACAAACTTAAACCTATAATGATGATGAACACTACTATAATAGTTCGATATTATCGAATATTTTCATTGATCTAATCGTAAATCATATGACTGTAGAGCACCTTTAACTTCCTGTATTTATACAATAATACAATATGAGGTTGATGTTTGATTTGTTTTTAAATGGAGGAGAACCTCCATGGATAAAATAGAATTTATTTATAACGGCAATTTTGTAATAAAGAGTATTTAATGCCATAAACATTGAACCTCAATTTAAAGACTTTTTGAATCGGCCTGGTTACACGATTAATTTGTGCGTAATGTACACCGAATTTGTGGCCTACGTGTGCGTGCACCGGTTTGACCCATTCACACTGTACCATATTTACTTAAATAAACATAATATTTACTTTGCAGTGTTTACGGTGTTATTTTTGTGTTTTATTTCCCACGTTAGCGGGAACTATGTGTTCCAAATTTTCATGATAATAGTTGAGAACATTGCAGACTGAGAGACAATCCACCCGATATTGTAATATAAACGTACGACTATAAACACATTGGATGTCCCTGACCTTTTTCCACATACGGTAGGTTGTTTTTCTGCCATATTCACACATTGACACCAATGTATCTAACAAATGTGAATATGCCATATATGAGGTTCTGAGATTTCGGACGATACGTGACATTCTCTGTTTGTGAAACTTGTGCGGAAATTTAATGATAATGTTTCGACTTTTTCATCATGAATATCATGATATTTTGTTCAATGCACTAGTACTCTGAACAGCGCTCTCTAGTGACAGGAAGCTTCAGTGATATTAATACGACATATATGGGTGAAGGCAATGTCGTTAAAATCGACAACTGCGTTTGGTTGTGTAGTCGTCGGTCATCAAGGATATAGTAAAATTTCTCTAAAGATCAAAACGACATTGGCGTTTTTAACTGCCGTCGCGTCACCTATTTAAGTCAATAAAACACGTCGTCGCATGAGGGCGGTCTTCAATGAAAGGTGTATTGTAAAGCGACTAGTAATTATTAAAAAGAAACTTGACGCCTATAAGCATCAAAGTGATCTATTGGTCTACACGCGCAAATATACTCCTAGCTTTTGGCGATGTGTACAACTCTGTGCTAGCTCGATTGGTCGTGTACACCGTCACATACATCAACAAGTTTCTCAAGTGTTTGCGGTGAACAGTTTAGTGAGTATATTAACGAATGGGTTCACGGATAGTGCAATGAAAATGGCCACAGCCTCAAATAGCAATGTTCACGGTGCAGATGACCTCGTTCTAAAAATATGAAATCAAATATAGCATCTCCATATATTAGATAAACTTGTTGAAGCAGTCGTGACTTTAGAAGAGTCTCCCGCTGATCTGCGCAACATGATTCTACATCAATGCACATTTACTGTAAGTCGCGCCCTCAAGTGTCAAAGCGTCTTGTGACGCGGACGTAGATAGATAGAAAAAAACCGTTCTCTGTGTCGCTATTTATTCGTTCGTCAATCTACGTCAGTTTGACGTCACGGACGCGCTCCGTCGTTAAAGAACACTGGTTTATGAAAAACGTCAAATGACGACAATCTGTCGATCGACTACTTAAACATATCAAGCACAAATTACGTCAAATTACGTCAAATTACGTCATATTATAATGAAATAATTAGTGTAATAATAATGTTTATAAATTATTATATACTAAGTATAAAGGAAAATGCAGCAGTATGCATACAACAATTTGATGTACATTACAACGTAGCACAACAATAAACCAATTCAGTGTTATCTTTCGTAATGTATATGTGCATTGGTTCATTCACTGGTTCATTCGACGTCCCACCCTAGTCAGTGTTGACAGAGCTGTCCATCGTTATAGAGTTCAACGTTCGGTGTAACCTGAAATAAACATCTATCGTTACTCGATCGGGACATGGAAGGTACTAACGTTAGTATCTTCCATGCTCAGGATAAGAGATCTTGTTGAACTTTGACCTTTACTACTGTTGACATATCGTTTTCATCTGACCTGTAAATACTGCCGCTGACGTGTGCATGACGTCACGGCGTATGGAGACTCTATCGGGAAGACCGTTAAACACAGTGACCTCGATCCAGTTTGAATCACCTAGTCACGTGACAATGGGTTCCAGTGCAATGAATCTAAAGAAACGGACTCATTTTGCATGGGGCACACTTACATCTCGGGTAACAACACGTAGTGAGCTTTGTTGTTAATGCGTCATTACATGAACTCGAATAATGTTTTCTGACTGCGCACCTAACGTGGCTTTCGTCGAACTATATTTCCAGTAGTAAGCATGGATCAATAACTCTACTTGTGTTAATTTTCGTCTTTTGTAGCTTTTTTTTTATTTCAGCAATATTTTTGACTTTTAAATATTTGTTAAATCCTTCATTAGAAATGCTATTAGTTTGTAGCCGGCGTACAACACGTCGTCACATTGTTTGGACTTTAACAAGTTTGCGATGACAGGTTTGAAACGAAATGTTGAGTAAACGTAATTTTCAGTATATTAAAATAATTTGTTTTATAATATAATTTTCAAAAAAACCCTTGTCTTAACAGAAAACATAACAGTATCCGTGAGTTAAAATAATGACAAAATATTATGCGCATGCGTCCAGGATTCATATATACGTGTTTGTATGTGTACAGGTATTCAGAATAAAATCGTCAAGCTTGTTTTTCGTGTCGTATCGCACGTCATCGTCATCTTTCCGCCAAATATTCGAAATATGTCATGTAATTAAACGACAATACCCGTAATATTCCCGACGAGTCAAAACAGCGAGATTGCTCTTAAATACGACGCGATATCTAAGTGATTGTAGTGTAATATACTTAATTACTGATGTGTGGCAAATAAAGATGAGTGAAGCGCGGTGGTCGTCGCGCAGCGCGTGTTCGAATTTCATGTAAATAAACAATGTATTTTACACGCGTTGTGTACGTCGCTATGAGTCCCATATCGAACAGGACGCGGCGCGACGACTGCCGCCTTTTAAGGAACACTTTTCGTAATTCGCATATGAATTAGATGCATACACTGAAAGCCCCCCCCCCACTCTCTTGATCAGAAGCTCGTGGAATACTTCGTGGTTAATGAGTCGAATCGTTGGACTGCATCCACTCTTGTTGATTAGAACAAGTTATAACATTCAGTATAGTAAATCAGTCACGATTTTTTATACCACATTGGTCAGTCTATACCGTGTTCGTTTGCGGTTCGGACGTACATTTAA